GGAAGCACAGGCTTCCTCAAACCCTCATTCCAAGAGACTGGGTCCTAGAGCACAAGAGACTAGCACCAGGAAGAGGGCAAGGCAGCCTGGGCTCCAGTGCTGGGGAAAGGACAAATCAGTGAGAAAACACCATTCTCCCTGGCCAAGGTCCCACGGTGGTGTTCTGCCAGGGCCACCTCAGAGCAAAGGGAGCCACCAGGGAGTCTGGTGTCTGATGGAGACCATGACACCCCCAGACACAGGCTGGGCCCTTGGGTCCCTGATTCTGCCTATTCCCTCTCAAGTCCCAGGAGGAAGGGGTCATAGATTTAAAGCTGGAAGGAACCTTAAGGGGTGGCTAGGTGGTATAGGGGATAGGGTCTTGACTTGGAGTCAGCAAGACCCCAGTTCAAATCCTGCCTCAGGCATTTGCTAGCCGTGTAATCCTGGGCACCTCCCTTAGAGGATCAAATGAGATAATAATTGTAGGGCCCTTTGTAAATCTCAAAGCCTTACATAACTCTAGATTTGATCTAATCTAACCCCCTCATTTTACACATGAATAATCAGAAGCTCAGAGAGGTTTTATGACCTAACCAAAGTCACTTGTGAAGCAAGTAGCAAATTTGAACCCAGGGCCTCTGACTTTTTCCACTGAACTACAAATCGTCCCTTGACCCTGACTACCTATGTAAAACTGGGGGAGGGGTACGCTAACTGGCCTCTGTGATCCCCACCAGCTCTGGTGCTCTGACCTGGTGGCAACACCTCCCCCTCACCCATTGTACCCACTGCATTGATGCCTTCCAAGCCGAATGTCAAAAACAAAACCAAAGTTCGGCCTGGCTCTGGCCCCCACAGATGCCTGGCCAGGCTCTGAAGAACATTCAGAGAAGAAGAAAAGGCTTAACAGGCTCAGGCTGACTGTCTCCAAACTGGGCTTAAAAGCAAAACAAAAGAAAGTTGACCAATTTGCATTTTGCCCCTTGTAAATTGGCTCCTCCATTCCAGCTTTCTTTTAGAAGCAATCCTCTAGGAGCAGCTAAAGTTCTCCATCTAATTGCCTCTTTATCACTGCCAAGTTTGAAGACTTTAAACCTATTCGACAAAAGATCTGAACCATAAATCTCCCCATCTTAGTCAGAGGCCTGCCATGACTTCTGGTCCTGAAAGCAACAGGTCAGAGCAATCTCCCAGAAGTGCTGATAAGGAACACCAACCCAGATAAAACAACCTCAGCAGGAATTCCAGCAGAAGATGCTGGATCAACAGGTTAGGGGCAGAGAATCAGCAAAACCAAAATTCAGAGGGGAGCAAAGGGCTCTTAGGGAGCCCAGCTTTGAAGACAAGAAAAGCAGCTCTGCCCGGGGGTGGGCTCAGAGGCCTACTTCTGGCCATTCGGGCCAGTGTAAGAACACGCTTTCAGTTTAATCCAAGCCAGCTTCCCTGACTCAGCTCCACCAGCAGGTACTTGTACCTACTACGTGCTGGGCACACAGACAAAACAAGTACATCAGTCCCCAGACTAAAGAAACTTAGTCTACTGGAATCCCAATGAAGGAAAGTCCCCGATTAAACAGAAGAAAACTTTAAAATGAATACAGAGGCAAACTGGCTAGGTTCTTAGCCAAGATAAATTCTTGAGGACTATTTTTCAACATTATTTGGTTTTCTTTGTAATCTTATACATTTAAAAACATGATTCTGAGAAGGGGTCCAGGGGCTTCACAGACTACTACCAAAGGCGTCCAGGACACATACAAAACAGATTCAGAACCTCTGTTCTAGGGTGTCACAAAAAAGAATCTTCCCCACCCATGTGGTCTCCGTGCGGGTGGGGTAGGGAGCCAACCGGGCCTGACCACAGCCTTGCTGAGTGGACTAGACAAAACAGTTCCTATTACCATTCCGTGCGTAAAAAACACCACCAACACCCAAACTTGGTGCTCTAGTCCTGAGACCCAATGAGAAAGGAGGTAGCCAGTCCAGGTATGAGGGGTTGGGAAAGGGAAAAGAAAGAAGTCGGGGAGAAGAAATTTGCCAACTAACTGGGTCCTTTGGGAGTACACGTTAATCTCCTCACATCTCCCAGACTTAGCAGAAACCACCTGTCCAGAGAACAAGGTCTGCCTCTCCCATCACCCAAGATTTCTGCTGATGAGGGCAAAGCCCAGCCAAGAGCCCTCAGGCTATTAGGAAATGTTTTTTGAGTAGCTAAAGGTCAAGGGTTACAAGTGATAGACTCTCTGCCCTTTTCCAGGTATCTACTCCCTCCCCCCAGGCACTTTCTGACCCCGAGCCTCTTAAACTTGGCTTCCCTCATGAACCACAGACTCTGCTCTCCTAGGGGACAAGGGGAGGGTTGGGTGCTGGTTACCCCCACAGCAAGCCTGCCTGCCTTGTTTTCTCCTCACTCAAGCTAAGGACTAAGATCACATTGGCAGGAGAGGAAATCAGGCCTAAATTCATCGAGAGTGCTGTGCATGGAAGGCCTGGGGAGGAGCATCTAAAGTTGTCACATAAAGAGCCAGTTTTAGACTGGCTAGGGTGTGGCTGAGATTGGGATGGATTATCCTTTATCTAAACTTTCCAACCCTTGTAAATGGAGAGACTTGATTGGGGCGTCACTTCCCCCAGTTTCCTGGAGAACCCTAGGGGTGTTATGCCAATCAGCATTATCTAAGACTCCTTACCTGGAGCAAACAGACCAGGAGTCTTCATACCTAAATTCTAGTCCCAGGCCTACCACCAACTAGCTGTGTAATCTCAGCTAAATCCCTTTTTTTCCTGGATCCATTCCTTCCTCCCAAAAAGGGCTTTGCAGTCTCTTCAAGTCTGTGACCCTGGGACCCCAAGCTATGACAATTTAGCCAAAATAATCAAAAACCAAACCAAACCAAAAAATGGATGCTGTGACTTTACGGGTACTTTGATCTTCTTTTTAAAGCTTCAAATCCCGACAAGTGGTCTGGGTCAAAGGGCATTCTTTTTTGCAAGTACAGGGAAAAGAACTGGATGGGGGGTTTCGTCGGGTGGTGACCTTCTACGGGAAGAAACTCCTTCAGCCAGGGTAAACCTCAGCACTTTCACTGTGATTTAGAGTCTCTGAGAGCTGTTTCCAGCACTGGAGGCTAAGTGACTTTCCCAAGGTTACCCAGCAAGGCTTGAAGTCTGGTGTTTGCCAACCTTGTGAATGATTTCCTTTGCAAAATCTCATTAAACGGTCACTTTCCTTCCTTGAAATTTGGACAGTTCTAGCAAATTCCAGTTAATTGGTCTCTACCTACAAAATCCTCCAATTTTGATAATCGTACAACAGCTAATATTTTGTTGTTGTTCAGTCCTGTCTGACTCTTCGTGACCCCATTTGGGGTTTTCTTGGCAAAGATATCGGAATAGTTTGCCATTTCCTTTTTCAGTTCATTTTCACAGATGAGGAAACTGAGGTAAACAGGCTTAAGTGACTTGCCCAGGGTCACACCGCTAGAAAATGTCTGAGGCTGGATTTGAACTCAGGTTTCCTGGCTCCAAGTCTGCTGCTATATCTACTGTGTCTCTTAGCTGCCCAGCTAATATTTTGCACGGGGCTTTAAAAGACATGAGGCCCTTTAGTGTCATTATTGATATGATCCTCACAACAAACCCATGTTGTAAGCACTACCAGCATTATTCTCAGCATTTTACAGACAAAGAAACTGAGTCTCAGAGAAGTGAACTGACTTGTCGATACAGTCAGTAAGTACTGGGGGGAGTCATCACTAGACCTCTCTAGAAGTGAACAGCCCAACTGGGAATCCACATGGCTAGTGGAGCCTCAGAATGCAAAACAGGAAGGGTCTTAGAGACCCTATCTAATCCCACCCCTCCACCACAATTCACAAACAAATCAGCACAACCACCTCTTTAAGGAGGAAACAGCCCTTGAACATCACAAAGCAACTAGACTTAGTCAGCTAGTTTCCAAACCCAACATGTCCTTGAGGAACTTCCATTTCAAGGCCTTTCCCAGTGGGCCAAAGTCCAGCTCCTAGACTGTAAGCTTCCCAAGGGCAAGGGTCTGTCTCCTCTATACTCTGCATCTCCTCCGGGGCTCTAGCTAGAGCAGGAGGTTAATAACGCTCTTGAGAATGACAACATACCAAGCCTAGGAACCACAATTTCCTCTCAACACCTCTCACAGACCCCTCACTGAATCACACTGAACACACTTGGGCTCATTTGATCAACCATCAGAGACACCCCCACACCCCCCCCCCCCCTCCAGCGCCTACTGCGTGCCCAAGGACGGCCAGGTCCGGTCACAGCGAGAGGCCCGATTCTGGAGTCAACACTTGTTGGCTGGGGGACCTTAGTCACACAAGTCTCTTAGATTTAGAGCTGGAAGACACTTGAGAGACAGCAGGACCCTAAAGTTAGAGACCACGCACGGGGAGGTCTTCCACGGTCTAACCCCTCATGTGGAAGAGGCAGAAACAGACAATAGGGAATTGGCCAAGACCACACAGGCAGTAACTGAAAGAAGGTCCGCATTGGAACCCAGATTCCCAGATTCCCAATCTTGAGGTTCTTTCCACTACATCTCTTGACCTTAATTTGCTCATCTATAAATTGGGACAGCAAGGTTTACACCTTCATGTTATACAGATCCCTCCCATCCACACTGCTTGGACTCCCATTTCCACCCTTTATTTGCTTTGCGGCCTCCCCTCTGTGGGTCTCACTTTCCTCATCTGTACAATGGGGATAGCAATGCCTGTATCCCAAACCTCCCTTTACAGCTAGCAACTGGGAGGATGTTTATGTAGGTTTTTCAGGGCGCTGAGGCAACTCTAAGTGATGATGTACTCGTCACCGTCACCATGGGGTGGATACAGAGATTATAGAAATAGAGACCTCCCTGGAAGCCTCTGAGTGGTGGGAAGAACAGAATAATCCCGCCCTAGCCGGGCTCGATGATATCACCCCATGTTAGAGCGTACCCATAAGCCCCAGACCCCCTCCCCGCCCCCCCCACTGCTTACCTGGCTCTGTACACAGATAGGAATAGAAGCCCTCGGACTTGAGCATGATGAGCAGAGACCCCCAGCCCAGGAGGACAGCAGAGAAAAGGAGATTTTCCACCACGGCGGTGCAGGCCATCCACCATCGCCTCCGGTGGGCAGTGGCCAGAGTGGGAGCCATGGCTCAAGGCGGGTGGACGAGGGGACAGCCCAGATCGAGCCCGGAGGAACGGATGTGCGACAACCTGGAAAGAACTCCCGGTCACAACCTGGGTGCTTTGATGGGAGGAAGCAGTGGGTGGCTGGCGCACCTCCCCCTTCCCCAGCCTCTGCAGCAAAATGCAAACTATGTCACCCCTTCCATGGAGGCTGCTGCAGGTAGGGGAAGGAAGGAGGGTTGAGCAAGAGGCAGGCTCAACCCCCAGAGAAGCCAGGAAGCCCGGCAGGGACCTCAGACCTGGAGCTGAGGCCACTCATCCAGAGCCGGGGCCCGCTGCCCACTGCAGCATCGCCCCCCCTCCCCGTGCCAGTCGGACTGGAAGTTCCCCGACCCTCCGTCCCCATTTAATGCATGGGGAAACTGAGGCACAGAGGGAGGAGGAATAAAGATTCCAGAGTCCCTGGGTCTGAGTCCCGCTGCGAGGGATGGACGGAGTCGGAGAGCTCGCAGGGGCTGCAGCCGGACACTGCGCGGGGCCGCAAGGAGGGAGGAAGCCCCCCGACTCACCTGCGCCCGCCGCCGTCCCAGCCCGAAGCAGCGAGCACTCCCGCCCGCCCGCTAGCCAGCACACAGACCCTGCTCGGGAGGAGCTGCTCCTTTAACCACAGAATCAGCACCGGAGCTGTGGGACTGCCCGCCTCTCTGCTTACCCATTGGCTCGGCGGCCCGGAGGAGCCGCGGCCCCATTGGCGGAGCTCCGGGTCGCTAAGTGCCACGGGCACGCGAGCCCCGCATGGGACGGGCGAAGCCGGTTCGAACCGGCGGCGCGAGCCGCCCGCTCTGCCCCCCCCCCCGTCCCCCTAAGCTCCGGTCCCGGTGCCTCGAGCCCGGAGCGCTCCCGGTCCCACGACGTCAGGCTCCCGCCCCATCCCCACCTTATTCATCGCTCCTGCCCGGCCTCCCAGCCCTGTGCTCTGCCTGTTTTTGTACCTCGCTCCCACCCCGCAAACAAACAGGCCTCCTCCTTCCTTCTTTCCTCCGGGCCGCCTGGAGCCCCAGTACCGAAACCCCCAGCCCCTCGGCGCCGCTCACCCAGCTCCCACCCGATGTGTCTCGGGCCCGCCCGGAGTCTTTTCTGCCCCCCTTTTATTCCAGCCCTTTTATTCCGACCCCAAGAGGAAAACACTGCCACGCGCTGATTGGTCCAGACGGCGCTGGAAACAGGCAGCAACCAATCAGCAGCCGCCCGCCCGGCAGCGAGCACGAGCCGGTTCCGGCCGGACCGAGAGACAAACAAGAGAGCTTCGGGGAGGGGGGAGGGAGAGAACCGGGAGGGGAGGGGGGAGCGGGCTGCGGGGACCCCTGGCTCCTCGCCCCGCCCCGCCCCGGCCCACCCAGCCTGGACGCCCCCCTCCGCCCTGACTGGGGCTGTGCCCGGGCCGCCGCACCCCTCGGGGACTCCCCCGCCCCAGTTATACCACCCGACCCCCCAGATGTGCTCCTTAAACCCTCTGTATAGCCGTAACCCCCAGATTGCAACCAGCTGCGGCCCCTTTACTGCCTTGGCACCTAGATGCGCGCCCCACCCTGTGCTGTCCTTGCCTAAACACCCCGTTATACCGTCCTGAACCCCGATGTATCCCCAGCTGTTTTCCCTCTGCCTCTCTTTACAGCTTTGACCTCCAGATGGGCCCCCTCCCCCGTACGGTTCTCACCGACCCCACCCGTCCTGAACTCCAGATATTGCCCCAGCTCTGTCTCTTACCCCCATTTATCTCCTTGCCCCCACAATTCACCCCAAGTTGTCCCCACTCCCCCATGACAGCCTTGATCCCAGATGTGCCCCTCTCCATGCTTTCTTCGCTGACCCTGCCCATTATACCACCAGCCCCGCCCCAGTTTCGTGATCCCCTTACCTTCTCCCATCTGTCTCCTCCGCCCTCACCCCCCCATGTCACCCATTCCCCTGGATGTTATATTTCCTCTCCCGGGGTTTCCTAGTTGTGTCTTCTCTGAACCCATTCCTTTATACCACCCTGACCCCCAGCTGTGTCCCCCAGGGTGGTCCCCACTTGTCTTCTCTGACCACACACTCTGTGTACCACCAGCACCCCCATGTGCCCTCTGTGCTGTCCACTCCTCTTTGTCCCCTTTGTACTGCCCTGACCCCCCAACTAGGTTCTCCATCCCTGCCTCCTCCCCTCCCACTAGCTGTGTACTCTTCATCCCTCCAAGCACCCTCCCCTCCATGTCTCCCTCCTGTGTGATTCTCCTTCCTTTGGGCCCTGCTATTTGTTCTTTCTTCCCCTGGAATCCCCCAACCAATCCTTCAACTGTATTGAGTCCTCTGGGCCTTTATCAATATCAGCCCCCCCCCATACCCCATCCCATGTGCTCCCTCTATACTACCGGATTGTCTGACATTTCCCCCTCCAACCCCAACCCGAAGTCAGAGGGCCAAGCTGCCTCCTCTTGCTGGTTTCTCTGCATTCTGAAGTTGGTGTTTGTGTGTGTCCCCCTCGCCATCCCCCCCGTCCACCTCCCTCTCCCTGAAGTGCTGTTTCCCAGTCTCTGAGCTCCCCTGTCCCCCAAGGGTGTGTCTCCCCTAGAGCTGTGTGGCTCCTTCCAGGACTTGTCTAGTCCTCCCGCCCAGGGCTAGGTCCTTGCCCTTCTGGGGCCCAGCTCAAGGTCAGTAGGGCTCTTCAAGCCGACCTCGTGGAGAGCAACTGGTGCTAGCGATGGCAGCTTCGGGCCCAGTCCCGGGAGCCAGATGGACAGGAGCCTGGCTTCCAGGGCTGAGGACTCAAGCTAACAAGAACTCTGAGTTTAGCTGCAAGACAGAGCAGCTCCACCTTCTACCCAAGTCAGATCCGAATCGCTTGCTAGACTGAGGAAGGACTCTGGGGGCCTTCTGCAGCTGCTGTCCCATCCCACAGTGCCACCCACTTTCTCCAAAGGAGCACTGGCCAGGGACCCTCCCTCCTCGGGAAACCCTAAACCATCCTCCTGGTTTCTTCTGCCTCTAGTGCCGAGGCCAGCGTGCTCCCTCTGCTGGACAGATGGGCATCTCACACCCCTGGCCACGTCCTCCCCAGAGCCAGGGCCAAGGTGGGAGCCGAGGCTGAGCTGGGAAAATGTGGGGGGCAGAGGCAAAGTCAAGCATGTGGGAGCAGGCACCATGGCAATGCTCAGGAGCCCCAGGGCTACTGCTACTCAACCGAAGAAGCCCTGAGTTCAGGCAGCTAGGTGTTGCAGCGTTGGAATTAGGGACACCAGAATTCAAATGCTGCCTCAAAAACAAGCTGTGTGACTCTGGGAAAGTCCCTTCATCTCTCAGCCTCAGTTTCCTCATCTGTAAAATGAGGGTGATAATTGCCCCAGCCTCAGAGGGTTGTTAAGAGGCTCAAATGAAACATGTCTGTAAAGCATTTTGCAAGCCTATATAAAATGCCAGCCTTATTGTTTAATCCTGTGCCATCCCCAATGGTAACTAAGGGGCAGCATATGTGCGAACCTGGAAACCTTGGAAGGCTGCTCGCTGCTTACTGACTCAAGTCCAAATTGCTTAGCCTGGCATTCGAAGGCCTTCCTCAGCCTCTGTTGCCAATCTCATTCGCTGGCTCTGCATCTTTGCTGGACTCCCACCTCCTCCAGTCCCCTTCCCCCCAGCTCTGCCTGTGGCAGTCAGAAGGGAGGTGATTAGAGGGAGTGGAGATGGAGGGTAGCCCTGGAGCTGTTCATCTGGAAGCAAAGGACTTGGGTCCAAATTCTGTCCCTGTCTCTGACTTGTTGGACCTTGGACAAGTCACTTAACCTCCATGCCTTCTCAGATGACCTTGAAGACCTCTTCCAGTTCTAAATCTATGATCCTAGCCGTCCTGCCCTTGAGAGGTCAGCCGAAGTGCACCCTTTTTCTCCAGCCAGTCTTTCACTGTAGTTATTTGTGGCCTTGCTTATTATATCTTGTTCCTTGGACCAGATCTTCTCCATTTCTGTGCCCATGTATCTAATTACACCCCCCACCACCATCTCCTGTGCCTTACACCCAGCAGGTGCTTGATAAGGACTATTTGGTTGGATAAGCAAAGGAAGAAAAGAAGGAATCTTTTATTTTTTTTTTTTGCTGGAGGAATCCTGGAGGAAGGAATAGGAACCAGAACCTGTCTGGCTCCCGTTCCTGGCTGTGGCTAGATTGTTGAGCTGACTCCAGAAAGAAGAGGAGAGGTCTCTGACCTGTTAGCATGGTCCCCATAGCCTTTTATTCAAGAGGAAGCACGACCACCTGTAGCATCAAGGTCCCTTTCCCATCCTCCTCCTCTGCTTCCCCACCCCCACCCATGCCTGGGAGATCTCAGGAATTCAAGGTGCCAGAGCCTGGCTGGACATTCTCATACTGTGGTTCATCGTCGACCTCCTTTTCAGCCAGCTGCCCAGCCTCCTCCAGCACAGGGAGGTCATCCCCTCTGGCTCCCCCCATTGTGTCCCCTAGGCTCTTGGTGCCATCATCCCCCAGCCTGCCTGTCTCCTCCTCCTGGCTGGCTTCACTGAGTGCTGCTGTTTCAGAAAGCTCCAGGACCTGGGGGGAGTCAGGGCTGGGAGCAGGGGAAGAGATGAGGGTGCCCTTGTCCCGACTCAGGGCCCTGCGAGGAGGCTTAGGAATGCTGCCCTTGGCCTTGGGCTCCCCCCGGCCCTTCTGGAAGCTGCCAAAGCGTCGGAGGACAGCTCGCACGGGCCCCTCGGCTCCCCCGGGAGTCCCTGCCAACATGTAGATGGTAGTCACGGGGCCTGGGCTTCTCCTGCTGCCATTCTCAATGGCCTCCACCCTCTGAGCCACAGTTCTGCCCCCAAGAGCAAGCCTCCGGTGGCCACCAGACAAATCCTCCTGAGCAGCAGTGGTGCTGGGAGGCTCTTGGAAATCAGGCTGTGGGTCCTCTGGCCCCTGGGGACCCTGAGGCCCCTCAGCCCCCTGCCCCTCAGCTTGGGGCTGGCCTGGCCGGGATAGTCGCTTGGGCTTCCTCAAGGGGCTGGCCAGCTCCCCAGAGCCCTGGGAGTTCTGGGGCCCGAACTTGGTGCCTTCAGCAAAGGAGACAGATGGCCGCTTGGCTCGGGCCAGGCTGGAAGTTCGTGGGATGACAAAAGGTGTGGAGGTATCATCTGGTGCAGAGATGGGTTTTCCTGCCTGGTGAACCTCTTGTAGTTCTTCCTCTGTGAAAGGGATAACAGCTCAGGGAGGAAGGGAGCGAGGACCCGGCCCAGGGCCCAGACCTGATTCCCCCCACTCTCACTGTCTCTTTCCGTTGCTTCCCCCACCCGCAGTCTCTTTCCCTAGTCTGAGAATTATGCCCCCGCCTCAGGCTAAACCAAGGCCCCAGGGGAGGGGGATGAAGAAACTAAGTTGAGGTGAAGGGGGTGAATCCCAGCTGAAGGGTGCAGGGAGGCCAGGCTGAGTCAAGGGGCAAAGCTCGGGAGGATGTGCGATGGAGAAGGGGCCTACCTTGTTGGGGAGGCACGCAGTAAGCTGGCCCCTCATCCTCTTCTCCAGAGTCGGGATCAGAAGAGAAGGAGTCGTCTGATGCCCAGCCCGCAGACGGGGGCTCAATAAAGCTGTGATTGAAGGGGATCTCTGGGTCGTGGTGGGACACTGTGGGGAGAGCCAGGTCAGGAGGGCCAAGCAGGGAACCCCTTCCCCAGCCAGGCCCGGAGCTCCCAAGGCCCCCCTCCCTCTGTCCCCCTCCTACCTGTGACCTGAGGCAGCTTGTGATTGCTGAGAGAGCCGCAGGGCAGCGCAGAGCCCAGGCTACTCAGTGCCCCCCTGACCTGCATCTTTACTTGGGAGACAGCAGCCCCATCTCTGGCTGGCCTGAAGACAGCAAGAGAAAGGACAGGCAGAGAGAAAACCCCGTCAGCAAGGGAGTGAAGTAACCAAGCCTCGAGTCCTGGAAAACAGCTTTCCCTCCCTCCCAATGACATAGACAGAGTCCATTATGGAAAGCTCTTATTTCACTCCCATGCTCTAAAACATTCAATAGCTCCCCATTCCTTACAGGATAAAGTCGAAATTCCTTAGCCTGGCCTCCAGTGACTTCCCTGTGTGAAGCCTGTACAAGTCTGAAGCTTCATGTTATTCCTGCCATCATCAAGATCCCATTTCAACGTCACCTCCTACAGGAAGCCCTCCATGATCAGAAGTGATCTCTCTCCACCCTGAATTCCCATAGTACTTTGTTGATCCACACATTGACTTGTCCTGTACAGTCATCCAGGGCAGGGAAGAGGTTTTCCTTCCCTATTGTCATTTCTTTGAATCTTATTTCATCTATTAGGTTTAAAGCCTCTGGAGGGGCCTTGCTTTCTCTGTCCTTATGTCTCCTTCAGGGCTTACCTCTCTGGCTTGAACATATAGTAGGAATCCCATAAATTGTGAAGGAAGGAAGGAAGGAAGGAATGAATGAATGGATGAACTATAAGTCTGGAGATCTGGGTTCCAGTCTATGTCACCTTGGACAGATCATATACCCTAAAGGGATTTGAGTCCCTTTATCTGTGAAATGTAGCAAATAACTCCCATCCTGCCTACCTCACAGGGTTTGGGAGAGCTTAAAATGGCAGAACAGATCAAACCCTGTCTTGAGAAAGACAAAAACTCCACTAGACAAGTTACATGGCACCTAAGTATTTCTCACTCAGCCTTGGCACTCCTTCCCTCCCATCTAAAGTTTTACAGTAGAGAGATTGCCGGGCTTGCAGCGCTCAGAGCCTTTCTTTAGAGCTGGAAGGAACGCAGGCCATCGAGCCTAACCGCCACCCTCCCACTTTACAGAGGGGGAAACTGAGGCACGAGGACATGAGCTGGCTAGTCCAAGATGGCATGGGGAATAAGCCGCAGAGGGGGTATTTGAACTCCTGTCCTTTGGCTCCAAAGCCAGTGGTTTCTACTCTACCTATTCCTCCTTGCAAATCCCTATCCTTACTTAACAATTATTGGCTAGGCGACCATGATTTCACTTCTCTCTGAGCCTCAGTTTCTCATCTATAAAATGGAAATAATCATAATAATAGTCACCAGGGTAATTGTGAGGGAAGGGCTTCATAAACATTAAAATGCTGCATACATTTCAGTTTTATTATTCTCTAAACCAGCTAGAGCCAATTACTTTTTATCTTTCTCTCCTCAGGGAGATACTACAGCTTTGTCCCTCCCTCGGCCCAAGGCCATCTAGGCTGTGGCTCTGCCTATTGGTCCCAGACCACCCCTCCCCAGAGCACCAAGACCACTCCATTCCAGCAGTGGTGATGTGAATCATCAAGTTTGTCCCTCCTTTCCTGTGCCAAAGGGCTGAAATCAAGTTGCTTTATTTTGGGGAGAGAAAGGGAGCACTTCCAGAAAGTTCTTTGAGACTCCAGTCAACATTTGACTCTATCTTCCCCTTCCCTGAGAGCTGGGAGTCTCAGTACCTGAAGTAAAGGTAGGCAGGTAGACAGCAGCGACTGGGATCATAAGGGTCCCCCTTCCCTGTAGTACCTGCTTTCTTCCGTCTCCTCCCACCTCCTTTTCCAATGTCCTGGATTCTAATGAGCGTCTCCCCTCCTGCACCCAGTCTCCCACATCCACACCCTGAACCCAGAGCCCTGTCAACCCTGATCAGCCCTGAAGTGATACCTGTCCTTGGGGTCAGGCTGAGCTGCCCAGCAGCAGCAGGAGATGCAGGCCACAATGCCCAGAAGCAGCAGCAGCAGGGGAACCAGGATGCCAGCCAGGAGAGTGCCCTGGCCTTGAAACCCTTTGGGGAAGAAGAAGAAGAAGCCATTGGGGAGGGAAAAGGGAGGGGGCAAATCTTTGATATCTCTGCTTCTTACTGTGGCAAATCCAACCTCCGCTGCCAGGATTTCTAGGCCTCCATAATCTGGCCCTGGCTCACTCAACCCCTTTTATCTCACACTGAGTCCCTAGTTAGGTCTCTCTCCCCACCATCCCATGATAGACACAGTGGCTCCAGCCTTCCTGCCGCGCACCTTATCCCCTTGAAAGACCTAGAATTTCATAGGCATAGGGAAGCCTGCCCCCAGTGCAAACCACCTCTCTAGAATGGATATTTAAGCAGAGTAAGGAGAATTCCATTGGGGTGGAGCATTTACAAATGTTATTTCATCGGATCCTCACAACGACCCTGAGAGGCAGGTGCTTTTGGTATTCCCATTTTACTGAAGAGGAAAGCCTCCTCTTACAACTAATCACTCTGGCTAAGGAGAGGCCATTTCTCTGCTGTACAAAGTCCTGTCAATGCCCTCCAAATTCCAGCACCCTGTAGCAAAGCCCCCATTGCCCCACTCTAGTTATGGCTATGTTTCAGTAGGACCTGCCAAAGCCTGTGTTCCTTGGGTAAAGCGTTTGAAAACTCGGGTACTGTCGGTGCATTGGAGCAGGACTTTAATCCTCCCCCTTCTCATTTAGGACGTAGAAACTGGGCTCACGGCAGGAGAGAACATAGCAACCTAAAGTCTACCCTTCTGTTCTGGATTCTACCCATCCTTCCAATCTCACCTCCTCCATGGAGCCTTCCCTGATTACTCCATCCCAATTGAATTCTCCTTTTTCTAAATTCCTAGAGTACCCACAGTTGACACATCATAGATTTAGCGATGGCAAGGATCCTGGAAAAACGTCTATTCCAATTTCCTCATTTTACAGATGAGGAAACTGAGACCTACACATAGTAAATGTCTGAGGTGGGATTTGAACCCAGGTCTTCCTAGCTTCCTTCAAATCTCCGTGAAAATCCCCCCTTCTTCAAGAAGCCTTTCCTACAACTCCTTAATGCTAACACTTGCCCCTTGAGGTCACCTCCAATTTAGCTTGTGCATAACTTGTTTGTAAGTAGTTTGCTTGTTTGTTTCCCCTCCCACCCACATTAGACTGTGAGCTCCTTGAAGGCAAGAACTATTTTTGCCTTTCTTTGTATCTCCTGAACTCCGCACACAGTAGGTGCTTAATAAATGCTTGTTGACTTGCCTTGACTTTGTGGTTCCAAGTCCAACACTATTCACTTCACCGGGGGTTCTCAACTGGACCCCTTTATACTCTTAAAAATGATTGAGAACACCTCCCCCAAAAGCTGTTGTTTAGGTGGGTTATATCCAGAGGTATGATGGTAACTATTTAACAAACAGCTCTCTGAATATAACAGAGTATCCACTTTTTAAGTTTCATCTGCGTAATTGACATTTTCTCCAGCACTTTCTTAAGTCTAGACAATCAGAGAAACAACAATCCAACACCTGTTGTGTAGTCTTTGCTGATCTCTCCCTGCTATGTGGGTTAATCTTCACTCCTCAAAGGGACTGGAAGGTCTTACAGGACAGGGACGCTGTCCGGAGTTCTTATGGCAAGGGATGGGCAGTATGGCCTAGTGGGTAGGGTGTTGGACTTGAAGGTTAGGAAGACCTGATGCGAATCCTTTTTTTTGTAGGCAGTGGGGTTAAGTGACTTGCCCAAGGTCACACAGCTAGTAAGTGTCAAGTGTCTGAGGTCACATTTGAACTCAGGTCCTCCTGACTCCAGGGCTGGTGCCCCCACCTGACATGAATCCTGCTTTAGACACATTACTTGCTGTGTGTCCACTAAACTTCTTCCAGTCTCAGTTTCCTCGTTTGCCAAATGGGGATAATGGTAGTACTCACCTCCCAGGATCCAGTGAGGACCCTGTGAGATCATTTCTGTAAATGGTTTTGCTGCCTTCAAAAGGTGATGTAAATTGCCAGCCGTGATCGGCTAGCACAGTGCTGGGGGCATGAGAACAGTGGTTTAGAGTCAGAAGGAACCCGGGAAGTCATCTAGTCCAGCACACACCTTCTGCTTTATATAGGAGAAAACTGAGGCGCAAAGAAAGGAGTTCACTCACCCACAGTCACCCAGGTCAAATATAACAGCTGGTGCTCGTCCCCTGGGCCCTTGGGAAAGGGCCCTCGCTTTGGAATCAGGGGACCTCAGTTCAATTTCCACCTCCAGTCTCTTGCTCCTTCCCTGGGCCTCAGTTTCCTCCCTTATAAAATGAGTAAGGTGGATTAGGTGGCTCTGAGGACCCCCCCAGCTATAGAGAAATAAATGGAATTAGGCAAGTTGGAGACACCAGCCCCCTAGAAGAGGGAAGTAGGTCTCACGTCAGGTCTCTATTTATAAAGTGCTTCTCAGAAGTGGAGGGAACTTTGGACTTACAGTAAGGAAGACCTGAGTTCAAATCCTGCATCGGACTTTTATTAGTTGTGTGACCCTGGGCAAGTCACTTACCCTCTGCTTGCCTCAGTTTCTTCATCTGTAAAATGGGGATGATGATAAGAGCACCTGCCTCCCAGAGTCGTGAATACCAAATGTCCTACAGAAATGCTGGCTCTCATTGTTACTGCCTCCCAGCCCTTGGGAGGAAGGTCCACTGCTCCTTTCTCCCTCCCCCTCCGCCAGTCTTACCCAGTTCACAGGTCCCGGAGGCAGGGTGGCAGGGCCCCTCTGGGCAGGGGCAGGGAGAGGAGCAGTTGACTCCGTAGAAGCCAAGGGGGCAGGAAGCATTGCAGCTGGGGAGGAAGAGGAGGAAGGAGGCTTCAGATGGGGAATTGTTCCCATCTGGACCAGTCAAGCCACTGGATGCCGGAGAGAGGCATCTCTGGGTCCGAGAGGCCAAGGAACCCCCCTCCAGAGAGGCCCTCACCATCCGGTCCGTCTCACCTGAGTCCCCAGTAGCCAGATCTGCAGATACAGTCTCCAGTCACAGCATCGCAGATGCCCTCGACACAGGGCGGGCACAGTGACCCGCAGGCCTCACCAAAGGTGCCGGGGGCGCAGGGCTCTTCACACCTGGGGAGACATGGGACCCCGAAGGAGGATCAGAGGCCTAGGGCTGGAAGGCACCTCAGAGGCCAGCGACTTCAGCCCACTCATTTTGCAGATGAGGAAACTGAGGCCCCGAGAGGGGAAATTACTTGTGCAAGATCACACAGGTCATAAATAGGAAACATCCAATCCTTTCATTTTCCAGAAAAGGAAAACCGAGACGCCAGGAGGCTAAGTGTCTGTGCACGAGGAGACGGCATCATAAGTGACATCTCCAGGTCCACTTCTGTTCTACCACACTGCCTCCCATGCACTGACACATTCACTCCTAACATGGGCTGATGGGGGGGGGGTGTCTCCTGCCCTCCCTTCTCCCTCAGACCTGAAATTCCTTCTCCAGGGAACCAAGTGGTCAGGAGGTGAAAGGGCGAGTTACCTTCACCCTAAAGGGTAAATGACTAACATTGGCTCCCTTCCTGAGAGCAGGGAAAAAGGGGAGAGAGAACGGGGGGCCTGAACTGAGGAGGCATCGCGGAAGAAAGAGATTCTGGGGACAGTGAAGGGAAGCCAAATCCTTCAGAGTTCTCTTTACAATAATAATAATAATAAATATTATTAGCATTTGTATAGGCTTTGCATACATGAGCTCATTGATTGTGCTACAAATCTGTGAGGAAGATGCTAACAGCACAAGATAATAATATTAACCCCATATTGCAAATGAGAAATCTCAGGCAGAGACAGAAGTGAAATGACTTGCCCAGGGTCACACAGCTATTAACTGTCTGAGATAGGATTTGAACTCAGGCCTTCCTAACTCCAAGCCTAGCACTCTATCCACTCAACCACCTAGCTGAAAGAGAGCAATGTTTCCAAAAAGACCCCTCAATGCACCCTACCTTGTATCCCAGCCCCTCTCAGGGCCTGCCTAGGTCCTGTCTCTCACCGAGTGAATACAGGGGCCTTTCAGAGAGGTGGGGGACAGTGAAGAAGATGGACCACTCCCCAGGCAGAAGTTGCCAAGATGGGGGATCATCCTGGAGGACACATACCCAGGTCTTTGTCCTGTCCTGCCCAGCTCTCATCACCCTCTGTGGGGACATCTCAGAGACAAAGAGATCCTCCCTTACCTGGGCCCTGTTCGGCCTGGGTCACAGTGCCGGCACTGCCCCGTCTCTGGCTGGCAAGCCTCACCTTGCCGGCACCGGGGGCAGAGCTGCCCACAGTTCTCGCCATAGGTGCCTGGTGAGCACGGCTCATTACAGCGAGTTCCATTCCAGCCAGGCTCACAGGCCGGGCAGGTACCTGTATCAGGAGAGCAGGGCTGGTTCTGTCTGCAACGGCCACAACTAGATGGGCAGAGGAGAAGGAGAGGGAGGGGGAGAAACGGTAGATGCAGGGGATGCCCCAGCCCTGCTCTGCTTCTCAGGCCCTTGACCCTCCTCTCCCCTCACTCCCCTTCATCAGCCTGCCTGCTCCCATCCTATCCTGGCCCTGATCTCTCACCCCCTCCTGTCCTCCAACCATTGGAACATGCTCCAACAAATCAAGGTACATGAATGTTAATGAAATAATATTTACTGTGCCATAAGAAGTAACAAAAGGGATGCTTTCAGAGGAAACTGGGAAGACCAGCGTGAACTGAGTTAGGAATGGACAGAGCCAGGAGAACCATTTATACAATAACAAGAAAAGATGACTGGGTCTGAATGACTGAAGATCTCTGACCCCCACAATGACCAGCCAGGATCAGCCAGGCCCACCAGGAAGCCTGCCCCATTTCCTGACGGGTGGACGACGGCCTCCAGGCCTGCAAGGAGGGACAAGCTTTTGGAGACCAATGCGAGAATTCATTTTGTTTGAGCACACAGATGTTTCAAGAATTATGCTTTGTGTTTTGAGGTACAGGGAGGAGAGAGAGAAAATAAATTGCTTGTCAACTGAAAAAAAAACCAAACAAAAATAAAAGATATTGAAAAAGAAATCACAAGGACTTGGTGAAATTGAAGCGAGATTTTTGCATCGACATTAGTTTGAATGCAAATAGCAATTTAAACAAATGTAAATTAATCTCAAAAACTGAGAAAGAACCCCACGAGAATCTTTCTATGAGACAAATATTGTCCTGATATCTAAACCAGGGAAAGACAAAACACAGCAAGCAAATAGAGTTGCTTGAGTTGATGGTTAGTGTTGTTTCTATTAAACATTCCTATTTTTAAAGTAGTCATCCACCCAGACCATCAGGATAGGAAGCTCACCTATGGGGATGTCCAGTCCATTTTGTGTTTTGTTGTTGTTGTTCTTCTTGTTTTTGGCTAGGCAGTGGGGTTGAGTGACTTGTCCAGGGTCACACAGCTAGTAAGTGTCAAGTGTCTGAAGCTGGATTTGAACTCAGGTCCTCCTGACTTCAGGGCCAGTGCTCTATCCACTGCGCCACCTAGCTATCCCCAACCAGTCCATTTTGAACAAATCATCCTTAAGCTTTCCTTTGTATGGTGTTATCAAATCTGCTCCCCTCCCAAATCTCTTCCCAACAAAGCTTCTATCCATTGGTACTGGTTATGCTCTCTGGATCACTCAGTTAGGTGACAAGCATCTCTTAAGTCTACTATGTGCCAAGCACTGTGCTAAGGGCTGGGGACCCAATGAAAGGCAAAAACATGCTCCCTGCCCTCAGGGAGCCCACACTGGAATGGGGGAGGCAACGTGCAAACTACCATGTGCAAAGACAGTGTCAGATAAGTTGGAAGGAATATGAGAGGGAAAGCGCTAGCCTTAAGGGGGCAAGCAAGTCCAAGTACTGATCTCCCTTTCTGTCCCTTCCTCTTTCTCTTCCCCCCACCTCCATCCCTTTGACCTCCTCCCTTCTCCTCTCTGTCCTCCACCCTGGAGGACTCCCCAGCTTGGGCCTCCCCGCCCCGGGTCCCTCACCTGTCCAGGCACTGGACCCCATAGCGGCCTGGAGGGCAAGCCTGCTCGCAGGACAGGCCCTGGTACCCTGGGTGGCAGGTACAGTGCCCGTTGGTGGGATTGCAGTGGCCATGCTGGCAGGTACAGGGCTTCCGGCACTCGGGCCCCCACCAGCCAGCCCGGCAGATGCAGTGGCCTGTGCTCTGGTCGCAGGCAGAGTGATGGCACAAACACCTGAAGCTGCAGCGTCTGCCCCACCAGCCTGGCTCGCACTGGCAGGCCCCCGTCATCTGGTCACAGCCCAAGGAGTAGGAGCTGCACTGGCAGGCCTTGCGGCATGTGGCCGTCCACCAGCCCGGCTCACAGCGGCAGGCTCCAGTCAGGGGGTTACAAAGCCCGTGGAGGCCGCACGAACACGGGAACTGGCAGTTCCCACCCCAGTGGTCATTGTTGCAGGTACATTGACCTGTGACAGCATCACACTTCCCATTGGGGTGGCAGGGACAGTTCTCTCGGCAGTCAGAGCCCCAGTACTGGCCAGGGCAGCCTAGGAACAAAGGAATAGGCTTGGATTCAGGCAGAGCAGAGAGGTAGGTTGGTAGGTTGAGGTACGGGTGCCAGGGGAAGTCATAAGATCACAGGATTTAGAGCTGGAAGAGGCTTGAAAAGACCAGCCAGGCCAACCTTCATTTAACAGATAAGGAGGCTTAGACCCAGAGAGGCTGCTTTATTAGTCCAAGGCCACACAGTCAGTAAATAGATCCACAGTCCTTCAAAGTGAGGTCCCAGACCCTCCTGTCCACCCCAGCTGTCTTCCCTTTCCTGGAAGTTTTCCCACCGCCATTTCACAGAGGCAGAACCCAAACCCCAGGCACGTGAATTTCCTTGCCCATTGTCACAGGGCCAGCCAAGGAGGGATCTGAGGCAATCAGGTCTGATGACAGTCAGATGGCATCTGGGTTTCATGATGCCTGTGACCTGCCCATTTGTGGGCACCCAGTGACCATCACAACAAAAATCAATCCATGAAGGATTCCCCTTCTCTTGGAAGAACAGTCAATGGGTGTCCTGTCCCCCCAAAGGAAAAATGAGGCTGAGAATCCCTAAGGATCCTGAGCGAGGTGTCCAATAACCAGTAGCTATCCATCACCCCAACCCCCAACTGGATCCTGTGGGGTCATGGGTCAAACAGTGCTGCCTGCAGTCTAGAGGCAAGGCCGTTTTTCCTCCTAACCCCTCCCACCCCAGTCTGATTCAGTCTTGATCTCTCTCTCTCTCTCTCTCTCTCTCTCTCTCTCTCTCTCTCTCTCTCCTCCCATGCCTTCATCCCTGTCTCCCCCCCACCCCATTCTTGGTGACTCATCTTAAATACCCTCCCTGATCACTAGCCCCTGCTGGTACTTCCTCCCCCACCCTTTCTAGCTCCCTGGGCTGGACTGTGCCGTTCTCTGCCCCACTAAAGCCCAAAGCCTTCCCCTCCCCCTCCCCACCCCAGTGACTCACGGGAGCTGCACTGGGCCCCGAAGAAGCCGGGTTTGCATCGGCAGAGTCCTGGTTTCACGCATACCTCTTCTTCCCCACAAGCATCAGGCCCCTCACAGATTGCTGTAAGACAGTACTGATCAGACAAGGCTGGATTGGGGATGGAAGAGGAGGGAGCAGGCACCAGGGAACAGCCCCTCCCCCTGACTTTCTACTTGTGTCTGTAGGACCCTCTCTTTCCAACTTGGTGTCAGCATCTAGCAAATGTTAGGTGCACAGTAGAGCCTTAATATGCATGTTGATTGATTAGATGTCCATGGTAGAGGGGTCAGAAGGACCAGACACTGGGGAGGGGCTTGTATATCCTGGGAGGGGTAGGGTAAATTGAGAGAAATTGTGTTGAGGATCAAGAGGTATTCTTTTTTTTTTTTTTTTGGGCTAGGCAATGGGGTTAAGTGACTTGCCCAGGGTCACACAGCTAGTAAGTGTCAAGTGTCTGAGGCCGCATTTGAATTCAGTTCCTCCCGACTCCAGGACCGGTGCTCTATCCACAGCACCACCTAGCTGAATGTGGGTTAGATGCAAGGAGTCAACAAGAGTGAGATCCTGGGGCTGGGAATTGCCCGGGGTAGGGCGAGGGTCGGGCTGTCCCAAAGTGGTGACCAAGCTGATCTCTCTGAGGTCACTCAGGACACATTCTCTGAGTGTGGGCCACCCCCAACCTCCAGCCCCCGAAAGGTTCCTTTGATACTCACGGGATGTGCACTCCTGGCCCTCCTGCCTCCAGCCTGGACAGCACACTGACCTAGCAGGGAAGCTAACGGGACAGAGACAGGGTCAGGGGGTGAAGGACCGACTAGCAAAGGTTAAATGTCAGAAAACAGTGCCCCCGGTGGAATACTATTGTGCTATAAGAAACGATGAACAGGCTGACTGCAGAAAAACCTGGAAAGACTTGTATGGTCTGATGGTGTGTGAAGTGAGCAGAAGCAAGAGAACGTTGTACACAATGACAGTCACGTTGTGCGATGACTAATATTGATAAACTTAACCCCTCCTGGCAATACAAGGATCTAAGACATCTCCAGAGGCCTTGTGATGGAAAATGCTATCCGCATCCAAAGAAAGAACTATGGGAGCCTAATTGCCAATTTTTTTTCTCTTCTGTTGAGTTTTGTTTCCTCTTTCTGATGGTACTTTCTATTGGTTTTAATTTCTCTTTACATCACTAATGTGAAAATATGTTTAATATGAATGTAAATGTATAGCCTATATCAGATTGTGTGCCGTCTTGGGGAGGGTGGTGGGGAGGAAGGGGGAGAAAAATTTTAAACTCAAAAGCATATGGAAGTGATTATTGATAAATCAAAAAAAATTAATTAAAAAAAAAGAAAGAAAAAAACAAAAACAAAAACAAAAAACAAAAAAAAGAAAACAGTGCCCCCGGGAACAGCCCTTTGGCTTGGACATCCAGGAAAACCCCCCAGGTCCCACAGCCCAGTGATCCTTGCCTAGCATCCCAAATGCATCTCCACGTTTCCAGCCCCCAGTAATCACAGTTTTGCTGTGGGTCTTCACAGATGGGGCTATTTTGAAGCAGACAGGGTCCCCCCCAATCACTCACTCCATCAAATAAACATCAATTGAAGGTCCCCTTCCCTGCTTACTGTCCCCTCCAACATATTCAGTGATCCCTCTCTTTTCCCACTTTCCCAACTGCCCGTCAGCCCTCCAACTGATCCCCAACATAATTCCCCCCTTTACCAATTTACCTCCCCCCACCAGCTCTAAGGTTCCTTCCTCCCACTGACCCAGACACAAATCCAACATTCCTCCTTATATCATCATCTCTGCCCTCCCTACCGTCATCGCTCTTCTCTCTAGCAGTCCTCCCGACCTACCTCACATCTTGGCAGACGTGCCTCCCCATGGGGTCCAACTCCAGCTCCCCCAGGATGCCCCAAACCCAGAGCAGCAGCAGTGGCCACGGCCCCATAGCAGCCAGTGCAGGCTCCAGTCAGTCTGACTCTCCCCCCCACCTTCCATCCCCCTCCCAATTTCCTCTCAAGGCTTTTCCTGAGGAAGCTGCCAACGGGGGCCCTCCCTCCCCAGGGTGAGGGGGCGGGAACAATGAGAATAAGGGGACTTCCCTTGGGGTAGGAAGGTGACAGGACAGAGGAAGCTTCTCGTTGGGGGAAGCTTCTTGTTGGGGGGGGTGGCGCATGTCGGGGTATCGCCTTGGGAGTCTGAGGTGGGGAGAGATGGGAGAAGGGGACCAACCAAATTAAATTAAATTAGTGTGAAAGAAGATAGGGGAAAATATACCTCCTTTCTTTCTCCCCAGAGAGAATATAAGCCCTTTGAGGGCAAAAACAGACTGATATTTGAGTTCCTGGCCTTAATACATGCTTGTTGATTGATTCTTTTCAGAGGTGGGTGCCTGTGGGTGTGGAACATCGAATACATTGTCAGACTAAGTCGGATGTGCCGGAACATACGTCAAGCTTAGTCCTTTCTTTTTAAATTTTTTGTTTACAAGGAATAACTCTCTGAACGTGGATAAGGGACAGACATAGTCTGAAATGAGGGGGATGGAAAACCAGAAGGTGTCAATCATGTTTTAGAAAATTAAATAAGGGTGTATGCATAGGGGGGGTGATGTGAAGACCAAGGAAGGAGTAAGGGTAGGAGGGACAGAAAAGGGGCTCGGGGGCAGGAAGGACAATGTTTGGAGAAGAGAAGGGGCAGTGAGTAGAACGCTTTTCACCTCTAGGTAGGAGGCAAGGCACCAGGTCCTGCCCATCCCAGTGATGTGTGTGAATACCAAGGCTGCCCCACGATGGTGGAGTTTCAGACTGCTCTGTTCCTTCCCTCCTCTTTTCCTAGGACACATCCTGCTCCACTTAGGGACCCTTCCACTCAGACTCGGGGAGGGGGGCTGAAGGAGACGGTAACAGGGATACCCTGATCTCCCAACACAAGTGGTAGGGCAAGGCCAAGATGTGGAGGGCTCAGAGCAGAAGGGGACTGGACCCTGGGGAGAAAGGAGTAAGATACTTGGCATGGATTCTCCAGGCCAGAAAACTACAAGCTCTGAGCCTTACACTCTAGTTCCATTCCAGGGAAAACTGAAGGACAAAGCTGCTTTCAGGTCAGTAGTGAGCCATCCCCCCCCAGTCCAAGTTCCAACTCCCTTCCTGCCCGTCCCCCTCAAGGAAATAGACCAAGGAGGGGGGGAAGACACATTAAAGCAGGTCCCTGTTTAAGGGTTGAGGCTACAGAGATGTGAATCAATCGATAGATCAGTCAGTCAGTCAACAAGCATTTATTAGGCACCTGCTACATACCAGGCATTCAAGGGGCTAGGGATACAACACTCTATGATGTTTATTGAAAGTACCCAGCCAGGGCTTGGTCAAACTGGGTGGTCATGGGGGTCCTCCAGAGGGCTCAGGAGGAGGTAGCTGCTCCTTTTCTTCCCCCCCTCAGCTCCCCTGGGAGCAGGTGGGGTCTCCAGTTTGTGGGACTTCTGCAGAGGGCTCTGAGCTTCCCCGATACCAAAGGCTGAAGCTAGGGGAAAGCCAAGAGTCTGCGTCATGAGGAGGGTCACAGGAGTCTTAGCTCTCCAGCTTGAAGGCATCTCAGAAGACATCTGGACCAACCCCCTCATTTTACAGGGGAGGAAACTGAGGCCAAAGGGAGGGAAAGTGACTTGCCCAAGGTCTCACCAAAGAGACTTTTGATGGAGTAGGAATATGACTGAGTGCTGGGGTAGGCAAGGCAAGTGGGTGAGAAGAGTTGGGGCACATGAGAGAAGAGAGAAATCATGGGAAATTTTGGGAAAAAGTAGTGTAAAGTTGGAGTGAAAAGACCCAGGGTGGGGAAAAAAACCCTAATTTAGTCTCCCTCTTTTTCCTTACCCAGGTAAGCACCCTTGTTCCCCCCAACCTCAACATACAAACTCCTGATTCTGGATTCAGGGGGCACAGGTGGGCTTGCCCCATCCACACCAGGGGGTGGTAGCCATGAGGCTTCATTGTCATCATCTTCATCATCATCATCATCATCATTGTCACTAAGGCAGAAGAGAGAGGCTGGATGAAGGCTAGCACCCACCTACCTAGTTCAGCTCCCTCCCCACCTCCTGTGGGTGTAGCTCTGTAGAGTTCTTTGACCTGCCTATTTATGAAGGCGCAGTGACTATCCCTGTAATATGGGCTATACACACACACTCAAGCCTGGCATAAGTTTTGTGAGGGTTAGACCCATCTGTAAAATGGGTCTAACCGAACTCTACTTCATACCTCATCAGTGGTTATGAGTAAAATGCTTTGAAAACCAAACCATGTGGTAGTGTCCGAGTATGAACTATTTATCAATTAAGGTGTTTGATGGGAAGGAAGATCCATATTCTCTAACTGCCATCCTCTTTCCCTACTGGGTTGGGGATGCTGAGAAACCGAGGAGAGGTTAGGGGGAATCCCAATTAGGGGACATTTGATACAAAAGCAAGGAGCCTGGACCAGCCCCCAGCCTGAGTCCAGTGGAAAGACCACTGAAATTGAGTCAGTGAGTAGGAACTGGGTTAAAGTCCTCCAACTGGTACTCAGCATCTGGAGAGTATAGATTGGCAGACTTTCAATCAGGAAGACCAGAATTCAGATCTTGCCTTAAACACTGACTAGCTCTGTGACCCTGCGCAAGAATTTTAACCTATCTTAGCCTCAGTTTCCTCATCTGTAAAATGGAGATAATAACAGCACCTACCTTCCAGGGTTGTTGTGAGGGCCAAATGAGATAACTTGTGTAAAGTGCTTTGCAAACCTTAATTATTCATCTCAGCCTCAATTTCCTCATCTGTAAAATGGAGATAATAGCACCTATCTCTGGTGAGACAGGTTCTTGTGAGGATGAGATGAGAAAATTGTGACGGTCTTGGCAAACCTAAAGGCACTACAGAAAAGCTATCTATGGCTATCATCATCATTAAAATCTCAGCCTCAGTTTCCTTATCTGTAAAATGGGGTATATAATCATACCTTACCCCCACAGACTTGTGAGCATCAAACAAGATAGCATCTGGAAAATGCTTTGTGAACCTTAATTCACAAACTGCCTAAATGTAAGCTATTATCATTATTATTGTTAAGACACCATCCTAAACTCTCTGACTTTCAGTTTTCTTATCTGTAAATTGGGGTTAATGTTATTACTTGCACCACCTGTTCCACGGGTTGCAAGGAGAACTCTCTGACAACTTGGAAGCAGTATTAAAATGTAAGTAATTAGCCCACTTGGGGATCTCCTCTTAAAAAACAAAACAGGGACTCCATAAAGAAAACAGCACAGCACAGCTGGTGATGGGGGCCCTTCTTGGCCTTCAGTCTGGGAAGGCACTGAGAATCCAGGCTGAGCTCTTGAGGGACTGGGGGGTGGGGGTGGGGGTGTGACGGTGGCAGCGGCTCTACTCCCAGCCCTAGGACCCACTGTTCAGGAAGGCCTCAAGCAAAGTCCCAGCCCACACTTCCTTCCCTAGAGGGTGACAGCAAGGCAGCCTTAGAACTGTGTTAGCACCTTAAGCAGAGAGCAGGCATGGCAAAGGAAGGTCAAGAGGTACACGGAGGCAGGAGAGGCGAGGCAGGCTCGGTGAGGACTGCCCTCACCTGCTCCCTGGCTCATCAGTGGTCCCCAGCATCTTGGCCTTGATCTTTCTCCGCTGTCTCTTCACAGTCAATTTCATAGCATTAAGCAGGAGCCCAGGGACCCGCTGGTCAGTGAGCAGCTCCCTAGGAACCGAAGGGAGCAGGGCCCTCAGGAGGGGTCGAGTCTGCAAGTCTAAAAACTCTAATGAGCTCGCCCTTGGGGAAGGGGCTATAAAGCCCTGACGCATTCAGGGAGAAGCAGCCCCTGGGAGTCTCGGGATATATTGGTCTCTGTGCCGACTAGGGTGCTCGGTGAGAGTCAAAGAAAGGCTATGACTGCCCCCTACTGAGGTTTTTTGGTGGGTCACTTTAATTACAATGTGCCTCAGTAACTGAGTGACCTGGCTTGGGAAGAGGATTGCAAGGTTGTAGCAGGCAGGGGAGGCACAGGAGAAACTGGGCTAACCATCTGAGGGCCACTTGGACCCAGGAGAAGACAGCGGGGGGGAGGGGGTGGGGGGTCATAGCAATTCACTACTTCCTGGGCTCAAGGCTCTTGGTAGTGGCTGGATGGGGGAGAAGAGCCGGGGAGTGCATCCCGGCGGCCTCTTCTGCCCGCCACCCACCGATGGTAATAATTCAGCTCTTCCTGCAGCAAGAACACGTTGGCTTTCAGCTCGTTGCGCTCCTGCAGAATCTGGCTGACCTCCTCTCTGCTGAAGCCTGATGGCTTCCCTTGACCTTGAGGCTCAGCGTCGGACAGACGGGAAACAGCCTGCTCGGGTGACAAAGGGGAAATGGGAGGGCCGCCGGAGTCGGGAAAGAGGCGCGTCCTTAACAACTGCCTCATCTCGTGCCACCCTAGGGGTGGTGATCATGGTGGGGGGTTGTGTGGGAACTCGGAACCAGAGATGGGGAGTACCCAGGGGAGAGGTCCCCAAACAAAGTGATAAGCTTTTGGCAGCACCGTCCTAGGCTCTCCGGGGAGAATGAAGAAATAGACGTACGGAGCTGACCCATGCCAGCTGGTGGATGGATAAGTGGGGCACTGTGAATTGGGCTTAGAGACCTGGCCGTCGCCCACCCTCAAGTTGGATAGCCAGAGCTGCCCGCTTCCGGGGAACACACACTCATGTGCACACCTCGGGCGCCTCCCGTGCCCCGGCCTGAGCTGAGGCCCCCTCCGCGTCGGCTGCCCTCTGAAGCGCTGCCCGCAGCTGGACCTGCACGGCGGCCAGCTTGCAGCGGAGCTCCCCGTTCACCCGCAGGAGTCTCTGCAGCTGCTCCTGCAACTGCGAGGAGGGTGTGGGTGGGAGGAGCAAGGCTGCGGTAGGCCCGGCTCCGGCCAGCCCCGGTTCCCGTCCCCAGCGCCTCGGCCGCGCCCCCCGCCCTCCAGCCCCGCCCTGCGCCCTGCCCCCTCCCCCAGCTTTCCCCCAAGGCCAGATCTCACCGCCTCCGCCTCCTGCGTCCTCAGCTGCAGCTCCCGGCTCTGCGCGCGGAGCTGGTCCCGCTGCCCGTCGGTCACTTGCTTCAGCTGCCGCAGCAGGAGCCGCTCCTCTGGGGGAGAAGGAGCTCGGGCTCAGGGCTCTCCGGGGCTGCGCTGCGCTCCCCCTCCCGCCTGCTTTGCGTCCCGGAGGCCACCCACCCCGCGTGCCGTCCCGCGTGCCGTCCCGCGTGCCGTCCCGCAGCTGGCCGCGGAGCTGCTCGTTCTCCTTCCGCAGCTCTCGCTGGGGGCTCCTCGGTGCCTGGCCCCCCGCACCCTTCCCCTCCTCCTCGGGCTCGAGGGGCGCCGTCGCACCCGCCGCCCCCTCCAGCAGCTCCAGCGCCCGCACCACATGGGGCACCAGCCGGGCCACCGCTTCGGACCCGAAGCGGCTGGCGAGTCCCTGCAGCTCGGTGCCCAGGGCCCCGGCCAGCTGATACACGAACTCCGGGCTGGGCCGGGCTGCCCCCGCCGGCTCCATGAGGCACTGGGCCGGCCAAGGCCTAGGGCAGGAGGCGCGATCAGCCCGGGGCCCCTGGAAACTGGGAACTCCCGGGGCCCAGAGGCGGAGCCCTGGCCCCGCCTCCGGGACAGATGAGTGGGTGGTCAGCCAACTGTCCCGTCCAGTTCCTAGGCCTTTAGCAGCCTGTTCCAACCAGGCTCCACCCAGCCCTGGCCCAGACTGGAGGACCCGGGCCAGCGGGAGGGGAGGGCCAAGTGCCTGGTCCTCAGCTTCCCCAAGTGTAAAGTGGGGCAGGTGCCTCTCTTCAGATGTCTTCTCACCCCCCCCCTCGCCCCCCAGGGCAGGTCCTGAGGTCTTCTCACTACCTAGCCCTTCTCACGCAGTCAAGGTTGAGCCTGGGGTGGTGAGGAACCTGAAAGCAGGATAAAGGAGACCCCACCAAAGCTGCTTTGCGACATCCCGCCCCCCAAGAAAAGGCTGAGACGTGAGGAATTTGTACAAAATTTATTGTCATGCTCATCTCCAGACTACAGGCCTTGAAGTTCCACAAGACATAAAAACACAAGCACAAAATACAGGGGTGGAGCCAGGCTGCTGAATGTCAACAGTGGCTGAGAGGGAGGGGAGGGGAGGAGAGGGGAGGGGCGGCGCCATCTAGGCGTAGAGATCCTCCCGGTCCGCCGAGTAGACCTCACCCTCCTGCAGCAGAGCAAAGTTGAGGAAGTGGGAGGGCCGGTGCACTTCGTGGTAGAACTCTTTGGGGTTGGCCAGCTGTAGCTCATATTTCATGTTGGGGTCATGTCGAACGCCTGGAGGGGAGGGGTGCACAATGTCAAGGGTTGGGCAAGCTTCCAGGCTAGGGCCCCAGTTCAGCCTCCCATTAACACAGCCTGTGCCAGGGGCAACCACGAGGCAGGCCTGTACACAGACCCAGAATGGTGGGGACCTGGGGACGTCCTGGCTGCCTCCAGGGCCTTCTCCAGGGCCCAGACCATCAGAGAAGGGGCCGAGGTCAGCCTGAGGATGGCCCCTTCAAACCCAAAACCCTTCCCACCCAATCCACTCAGAGTTTGTGACCGAGAAAGCCCAGGGAACGGTGGTCAATAGGAAAAGGTGGTCAACACTCAAAGGAGCCCCACCCCCACCCCTTTAAAACTAAATATCCTCTTAGACTCGATTTTTTTGGTGAGGCAATAGAGGTTAAGTGACTTGCCCATGGTCACAAAGCTAGTAAGTGTTATGTGTCTGAGGCCAGATTTGAACTCAGGTACTCCTGAATCCAAGGCAGAAGTTCTATCCACTTCACCACCTAGCTGTACCCCCCCTTTTTTTTCCTCGAGGCAGCTGGGTTTAAGTGATTTCCCCAGAGTCACACAGCTAGTGAGTGTTATGAGTCTGAGACCGGATTTGAACACTGGGGCCAGTGCTCTCCACTGAGCCACCTAGCTGCCCTTCCCTTTCTTTTTCAATATATATTTTTTCCCAATTACATGTAAACATTTTTTAACATTTGTGTTTTAAGATTTTGAGTTCCCTCCCCATTACCCCTCATTAAGAAAGCAAGCAGTTTGCTATAGGTTATACATGTGCAGTCATGCAAAATGCATTTCCATATCCGGCTTACTTTTTCTAAAAACTAGTTTGTTCATGAGGATCTTTTGGGGGGAAAATGTGTGCTGAGACTGTAAGGAGGCACTGGGAAGGCGGGGTTCCCACCCAGCCAGCCTGGTGGGGGATGGAGGAAGTCAGGGCAGCCACAAAGCATGCTCCTCCCCGACCGGCCTCACCTCTCAAGCCCCCTCCCCTCTGTCCCACTCACCCATGAAGTTGTAGTTCCAGGACGCCTGAGCAGGCACCATGAAGAAGCCAAGGAAGCGATCAGACAGCAGCATCTGCACCCGCTCGTAATGGGAAGGCAAGTAGCCCTTGGGATTGTTGCCCTTGTCGGTGTTCTGCCGACCCCACTCGTAGCCGCTGGGAGTCAGCTTGTAGGCAGTCAGCGTACAGGAGCCCGGGGTGAAGCTGGGGAGAAGCCGGGACGCTCAGAAGGGGCCCCCAAGCCCCTCCCCCAGCCCCTCTGCTCTGGCTGGCCTCCTCACCTGCAGGTGATGATGATCGTCTTCTCCCCATCCCACGAGGGGTTGTCCGCCATGACCTTGGCGTGGGTGGTGACGTCCTGGGGCGAGAGCTGGGGGGACTCATTGGGCTGAGTGTGGATCCAGCCAAGGGGCTCCATCTCCTGTGAGGAGTGAAAGAGAACGCATCAGGGCAGCAGCGCCTCCTGGGAGCCAGAAATTCAGATTAAGCCCCAAGGCCACGCTAGCACCCCCATACTCACTTTGAGATACTCGTGCTGGGGAAGCTGGCCTGGCAGGTGCACCGTCTGGTGGGTGCCCCACTGAGGTACCATCACAATGCATCGGATCTCCTTCACTTGAGGGTTATCCGGAGGGCTCACTCCATAGAGGTAGCCTGCAATCTGGAAATAACAGATTCAACAGTGAAGGGTTCCAGGGGCAGTGGAGTCAGGAGGACCGAGTTCAAATACGACCTCAGACACTTGACACTTACTAGCTGTGTGAACCTGAGCATGTCACTTAACCCTGATTGCCTCAAAAAACAAACAAAACACGGAGGGTTCTGGCCTGTCAGCAGTGTGTGCTCCCCTTCCTGTCCCCCAAGGCCCATCGTGGGGTCTGGGCCCTTGCCCACCTACTCACCTGGGCCCGAAGATCAGAAATGCAAATGAATTTCTTGAGCACATTCTTGGGAAGGATGTAAGTGTAGCCTGTTTCTTTGATGTCATCTGATGACACGTAGATGTGGTTGGTTCGCAGGTGCAGGTTGGCAGCAGAGATGGCCCTGAGATGGAACGCGGATGGTCAGCGTTACACACAGAACCGCTCTCTCCCTCCCACCTCACCGCCCTCAGTTTCTCCTCAAGCCCCACTCCATCTTCTTCCCATTTCCTGGGACAGTACCTGACCCTCCACTCAGTCTTCGAGGAGAAGGTCTGGGTCTCATAGTTGCTGGTGGTGGAAGTGATGATCTCATCGCCATGCTTATTGACGGTTCGGGTCTGTGTCGCTGTCAGTTGAGACTGTTCCTTGGTCTGTTTTTCAATCTCAGCAATCTGCTGCCGCTGCTGTGACGGAGCTGAGATTTCCATGCCCAGGATGATGTCTCGGATCTCTGACTGTGTTAGTGAGGCCACGTTGACGCTGTGTGGACAGAGGTGTTCACACCACACCCATGGGGACTCTGAGCATTGCTCTGCTTGGATCTGGCCCCCGGACAGTCCCCGACCTTCCCCCAACCCTTCCCCAGGGGAGCGGCAGAGTAGAGTGATGCATGTGGCCATCTGCAGGGCACTCCCGATCTCTCCGAGACCCAGGCTTGCCTGACCCAAGGGGACAGCCCTCATTTTTCAGACAATTCTCACTAGGCTTCGGAGCTGGATTCTCACCCGTGGAGCTGAAGAGGAGGCCCTGTCCCATGCTCCACATCCCCTCGGGCCTGACACTGAGCTCTGTCTCAGCTTTCTGGTGCCCTACCCACGTCATGCTGGAGCCTTGCTGATCCATCAGTGCCTGAGCACAGCCCGTGGCTCAGATTCTCTCTCTTCCCCAAGCCCGGCCCAGCCCTCGGTGGGCTCCCCCTTCCCCCCCCAGCTCACTTGTTCTTCTTGCCGTAGTCAGCCAGTATCAGGTCTTTGAGCTGCACCTCGACCTTGATCCACTCCTCATCGGTCAGCGTGGGCCAGATGTGGTGTGGCTCTGTGATGGTGGTCTTGTCCGGCTTCAAGATCACCTTGGCCCGGTCATTGTTCACGTGGAGGGCACGGAGGATCAGAATGAGACGGGAAAAGGCCTGGGCGTGAGAAAAGAATGTCAGCCACAAGAGCCCACAGGAAAAGGCTTTCCCCGCTTTCTACCTTCCTTCCCCCATGATTCCTTCCTGAGAATAAGCAATTTCCACCACTGACTTGGGAGTCCCCAGGCCTTGATCAGAGCCCCAAGTCAAGCGGTCCTGGATCTCAAATTCAGGTTCTCTGAGGCCAGAGCTGAGGACGCGACCCGTCCCCGGGCCAGGACCCCCTGTCACAGCTTCGCACCGTGTAGGATGAGATGGTCCTGAGCCAGTCATCATAGAGGTTGAAGAGAACCATCTGGGGCTCAGTGGCCTTGAGGATAAGGTCCCCAAACTTCTCTACTTTAAGACAGGCCTGGAAGGGCAGCTGCAGCTCGGAGCCTTTGATCACAATGTTGGGGAAGTCCAGCAAGTGCACCTGCAACAAAGTCAAGCTCAATGGCACAGCCCCAAGGCCCTGGGACCCAACTCTGCTCCCTCCACTGCTTCTTACCTCCAATGGGTCCAACATGCCTTTTCTGGTCACGATGATCTGCTTGGGCTGTTCCTCGACAGGCAGAGAACGGATCAAGGCAGCCACTTCCTCAGCAGTCTTCCACTTGGCCAACTAGGAAGAAGACAGAGGGGAGTGCACACTGAAGGGGGGTGGAATGGGCAGGGTACAGGAAGAAGGCAATAAGGTGCCTGGGAGAACGCGGAAGAGGCCCCCGTCCCATGAGCCATAGTAGAGGGAATGAGGACAGAGAGGCGGGGTGTGTTGCCCAAGGCTTCTTAGCATTCATGGCACATTCAGTGGCTTTGTGACCAAAAGGATCATTTTAGGAGACTGCTCAGGTCCTGTGGCAGAAGAAAGGGGCCTACATATCCCCTCCCAGGCTCAGGCCACTAGTCCTCCACCTGGTACCCTAACGGGATGCCAGCCCAAATAGAACAGAGGGAGGGACATCCAAGGTCTTCAATCTCGGGCATACCTGACCCAGACGCTTCTGTCCAGCCCACACAGACGTGTGGATAATCTTCAGGAAGAGCTGCCCTGTTCTTGGATTGAAGATGAAGATGGCCCCATTGATGGGCTTGGTGGTGAGGTTCCCTTCGAAGGTCTAAGGCAGAGAAGCAGACACCCCCATTAACATGAGTGAGAGACACAGCCCACCTTAATGATGGAGACACAGAAAAGCTC